CAGCATTCTGCCCTTCAATTAGGGGAAATAGCATCTTGGCCTGTGAATGTGGGGTGCAGGGAGGGACTGCGAAAAGTCTCCTGAGATGCCTGGGTCTCGTGCCGTGCRGCAGAGTCTCTGCTATCCCTCGTGTAGCTCACGTGGCAGAGAAGGAATGGGAACATCTGCTTCCTATTGAACTGCTCCCGTGCTTACAGCACGGGGCTGTGCGGGGCGGGAGGAGAAGGGGAGTGCAGGGGAACTGCTGCTTTCTCAGCCCAGGCCTGCTCACCTAAATCCATATCCCATGCACACGGCTTTGCTGGCCGCTTCTGACAGCAGCATCTCCCACCCTCGCTCAGGGACCAGCTCTTAGCTGTGGCTGCTGTCTGCATTAAGAAGCATCCTGGACTTTCCCTGAGACTAATGTGTCATTAAAGCCTGCTTGCTTATTCTGCGAGCCTGCCCCCTCCTGCGAGCGGGTCTGCAGGGCCGTGCTTTGGAGCTATGGTAGCATTTAATGTGAGTTTCTGCATGGCTGGTGCAGCTGGCAGCAAGCTTTAAGTCCTCGTACTGGCAGGGGATCTGCTGCTGCGCTGTTTAGGCTCTGAGATGTCTYGTCTCCCCATTCTCCCTTCCCCTTGGGGAGTTGTCCCTCTCTCCTGAAAGCCTCGTGCTCACCCAAATCCTGCTTGGGGGCTGTCAGCTGTGACAGCAAGGGCTCTCCAGCCTCTGGGGTTCATGTGTCTGCTTCCAATGTTCTCGCTGATCCTGTAAAGATGGAAAAAAAAATCAGTGCTAATTAATTAATCTAATCCTAGAAGCACCACATTTCCCTGGGAGGAGAGCAGCTAGCTGATCCGCTTCAGGGAGAGGAGCGCGGGAGGCAGGAAAGCCTTATCCCAGCTCCATGGGCTGCCRCGAGCCAGCTGCAAACCGCTGTGTGAGCGCCCTGGGCTGTGTTTTGATCGGTGCCAGGCGTGCAGCGCGCACACAAGCCTGCACTGCTGGGCGGGGGGACAAGGCAGCCCTTGTGCTCCCGCTGCCTCCTCCTGCACGGAGCCGGTGCCAGCGGCAGGGCCGGAGCAGCTGAGCACAGCGGCGCTGGTGCCGACAGCGCCGGGACCGATGTGACCTGCGGGGCAGAGCTGTCACTGCTGGGCAGGGGCTGGCGGCAGCACCTGGCTTCCCATCAACGGGGCAGCAATGGGGTGGGAAGACTAAYGYTGTCTTTGAGGAGAGAGCACGGGCYTGGGGGGTGGCATGTGATTCCAAGAGCCTGCAAAACGGCTGTCTGCATGATCATGACTCCTTTATCTGCTGAGAGATCGTCTTCTGGTGTGTGTGGCACTCCTTGTGTCCTTATAATCCCGKGGATAATAGCACAAGGCCCTGGCTTGTGGCATCCATCTGTCTTTCGTGGAGTACTGAGCTGCTGCTCTGAACGGTGCTCCAAGGGAGACTTGGGAGCAGGGAGATCTGCACGCTGCAAACAAGCTTCTTATCTTGAACTGGGTGTCAAGAAACCCAAAGCCATCCCTTTTCTTACAACAGCAAGTGTCTCGGGCACCAGCAAAATCTAAATAACTTTCCTAGTGGATTAGGTAAGTAATTTCTAAGGCATATCAGAGCTTGTGCTTGCTTTGGAACTAGTGTGCAGAAACCTCCAAGTGCCGCACACCTAAGTGAGAGCAGGGCCTTATCATTAACACACAAACAAGAGCTCAAATGGTAAACACGAGAGCTGCAAGGCACGTTTTGAGAGATTATAACCAAGGAGATGTCTTCCAACACCCATGGTAATTAGTAAGGATAGCCAGGAGCAAGTTATTCTATCAGGAGATGAATTTTCCTGGGCAATGATACACGTATTAGCCAAGTTCTTGTGTCGGTTAACCTCTGCCGTGGTCCTGGGGACCAAGTGTGCGTGGCTTGATGCAGACAAACCCCGACGGCCTTTTCCTTTGAAAACTGCCAGTGGTTCAGTACTTCRGAGCAAGCAATTTGAGGGATTTGTTGCATCGTTTTAAATTTGTTGCAAATTTATTTGCTGCTATTTCCTGGGCTTGCTGAGGAACTAGCATCTAGGGCAGCCCTCGTAGCTGGTACCCACTGGAATAAGCCCTCCTAATGGGGCTGCCTGCCAGTCCCCACACAGCTGCAAGCCCATGGGATCTCTTCTTGCCTAATTAAACCATTCAGGAGAAGTGAAATTTTAAAATAGGAAACTCAGGCAGCAGAGCTAGCTCTTATTTGCAGGCATTTTGCTCCTAGCAAAGCGCAGCAGAGCTACTGATTTCTGAAAGTGTCCAGGAGATCATTTTGACAGTGCACACAGCTCTACGGTTACCTGCTTATTAGCCTGTTCTTTTCTCACATTGTAAAGCAGACAACTTTTAAAGCAGCACCTCTCTCTTTTCCCATGTGCTCTTTCTCGCCGAGGTGCAGTCCCCTTCTCCAGCTTGCGGTAGAGACAGATGGGGAGGCTGGTGCTCCTTAGCTCTTCTGTCACTGTCAGCCCTTCTGAGGCACCCCAGGTGCTGGTGTGTATGTGACACTCGTCAGCACAGGTTGCATAAAATTGTCTTTCATTGCTAAGGCTGGATATCTTTATCCAGCAGAGGTTATAGCACAGCAGTGGCTGCGCTTGATGTTGAAGCTCGGACTATGCCTGCAGCTCAAAGCCAAGTTTGCAGTGTGTTGCATATCCCCATCTGCTGCTCTGGGCACTCTAGGAAATTAGGTGTCTTGTGTGTCTCAAACTAGGCACTCAAAATAAATATCTATTTCTTTTTTTCATGCAATCTCCCGAGGCCCTGCATCTGTGAGATGGGGACTGCACCACCCCCTCCTTCTCTGAGATGGTAGGAGAAGAGATTCAGCTCTGTGCTGTTTGTTCAGCCCTCAGACGCTGTTGTGACAAGCAGTGTTGAAAAGCTCATGAGGAAATTAATAATTCTGCGAGGCTTGAACAGAGTGCAGGAAATGAGGCAGGAGAGCCCGTGCTGAGCACTGAGGAGAGAGCAAGGGCAGCGAGGACCTGCTTGGTYGGGGAGCATCATCCATTGAACGCGCAGCCCTTTGCCTGGACATGGGGCTGGGAAGAAAACCTGCCCTATGAAGCATCCGGAGAAGAGGCAGGTGATGCAGATGCTGTGTCAGCTCTGAAGTTGCCATTTCCTGGCTGGTGAGTGCTTGACTTTGTAACTAATCTTTCCGTGCTCTTTTTGGCATGTAATTATGAATCCATCTAATCAGCCTGTGCCAGGCACCTGGAATAGCAAGTAGATGTGGGGAGGCAATCCTCAGTGTCACAGGCTGAAGATRTTCCAGTCACCCTTTGTGCCTGTTGAGAGCAGATCAGTAGATTGGACTGGCTCCTTCCATTTCYAGCTGCTCTTATCTTAGGTAGGTGGAAAGGCAGGGTTGCACAGGCAGCACTTTGCAGCAAACACCTCACTTAGCAGGGAGTGTGYGTGCAAGTACTTGGTTCTTCGCATAACGCTTGGGAGCTGAGCTAATTCTCCAGCCCGTATACAGACCAATCTACTGTCTCGTCTCCTAGAGGCGAATGAAATTGCAGAGGATAGTTTTAAATTAAGAAAAAGGCATTTTGTTAAACTGTTTTACCAGCCAATGCATTTCCATCATTGCATTCTAGTTCCAACAGCACCATGCTACTGGGGCATCTTGATGTTCTTTCCTGTAAAGTGCCTGGATCTTGCAGTGCTTGTGTGCATCCTTCCGAAGGATGTGAATTCAGTGGGAAGGGAGGGAAATACAAAGAGTTCAGAAGGAAAATGAAAGCTGCATTGTCCTGTACAGCAGGAAAAGGAAAGGACCTGCCTGGCTAAGAGCAGTGAAACCAGTGTCCCCAAGCACATGCACCTCTGGGCTTGTGTCCCCAAGATGGGCTCTGCATTGCTTCCTYGGCCACAAGTTCTGGTCACTGGCTGAACCTAGCCAGTGTTTTTGGAAGTGTCACAGGAGGCTCAGGTGCCCAGTCTGAGGAGTCTTGGGGCTGCCGTGTCCTGGAGAAATGGGTGTGCAGCACCTCGGAAAGTCAGACCTCCAAGAGGGGACCCACAAGTTGTGCTGAGTACCTCCTGCCAGCTTCATTTTCCTCGCTCATGGATGGCAGTGAGACTTTTCTGCTTTGCCGAAGGGCAGCGCAAGGTTTACTCCTTCATCAGTCATGGCTGTCTGAGAGCAAGGAGAAGCTGTCCCCTTGTTTTGGAAAATGATCTTTCCAGGCTAGCCTTAATGATTCAAATGCAGAGCAAAACCCCGGGTCCTGAGTCTCAGTGCTTCTGTGGAAAGCGACTTCAGAGTAGCTCTGAATTAATGATAACCCCCAGTGCTTTTGCATCGCCAGGGCTGTGTACAGCATTTTTCAGCCTGATGGGCCCTGGCAGACACTGTGTCTATCTGCTCAGTCAGCACAAACCTTCGCTGCGTGTCGCTATGGAGAGGTGACTGTTTGCTGGAAGTGGGAGCTTATAGGTTGCCTTTTTTTTTTCCCCAAGCAGAAATCCCATTTCTTTCTCCTTTGGGGAAACTTTAGCTAATAAAGAGGCCAGGAGCTGCCCTCGGTAAGACTCCAAGACTTTTCAGGAGCACAAATAGGACTGCAGGATGGCTAGCTCTGCTCTAAGCTTTGCCTGTGGAAGAAATGCAGGTGCAGTTTAATTATTTTGTTGATAGGAATCTCATATATTACAGAAGTTCTTCCCCTCCCCTTCTAGCCTTGTGCTTTATTCCCTTTTCTGTTTCTAGCCTGCTGGTGCATGAGGCTTCTCTTTTCTTGTAGGAAGGAACAACTGAGTAATTGAAATGGAACGTTATGAGATTTTTTTTTTTTTAATCTGAAAGTCTGCATTAATTAGTCAGGTCGAATGTAATTAGCTTCCTCATCTGTCACTGCCTCTCCCCAGTTTGTCAATGACTTTCTTCTCTCCTAGAATTCACCAAAAAGGAAGGACTTTGTCACACGGGAGCCGCATGGAGGTTGTGCCTGTTGGCACAGGGGTGAGTGAGGGTAGCGCAGGGCTCCCGGCTCTGAGCTGGGTCCTGCCAGCTGCAGCTGGGGGCAGAATTCTTGCTCATCTCAAGGTGTCCTGGGTTGTGTTTTCTGCCATGTCAAGCTCACAGCAGGCAGGGCTCCTGCTTCCTGCTTAGCTCCTGCGCTTCCTAGCTTAGCTCAGTCCTCCAGTTGGACTGGAGCTTGCAGGATGAGCTTCTGTGTGGGAGAGGGGCTGCAAAGATTTAGGGGCTTGCAGGTTGTGTGTGCCACCGCTTTCTGTCCCACAGCTGCCCCAGGAGGGCTGTGTTGAGCCTCTCCATGAGGCCCCAGCACCAGTTCTGGCTGCCCGGTGCCCTGGGCAGCAGCGGGGGGGTCGCATCTGACGATGCGAAGGCTGCCGCGCTCATCTAGGCTGAAGTTGGCACTGATGTACGGCCTTGGCCAGGGCCCTCCCTCATCCTCCTGCTAGTCACGTCTCCACGTGGCTGCCGTGGCCTTGAAGAGGCAAAATAGGTTGTCATGCAGACCCTGGAAACGCTCGTTCTTACTACAGAGCTGAGTTTGCACCACCACAGGCCTGGAAGGTGCTGCCCCGCGCTGGGCTTTGGGGTCTGTGGAGCTCCTGTGTTCCGGCCCAGGTCCGTGGTGTCCTGGGAAGATGCTGAAGCTGCCTGGCAGCTCCAAGCCCAGATGCCCAAAAGGAGGAGGATTTGCAGGTACCTCAGACTCCTCCTTCCCTCTCCCTCTTGAATCCCTGCTCTGCCCTCCCTTTCCTGCTCTGTGCTCTATGTGGGCTCTCCAAGCTGCACTGCTGAGTCAGCAGCTTCCTTGCTTCTCCCCCTTCCCCTTCCCTCCCCATTCCCAAGCTGCGGCTCTGCCGGCCGCCTCGGCGGAGCACGGGCTGGGATGGCAGATGGAGGAGCCTGGTGGAGCGGGAGCTGCGCKCTCCTCTCCCAGGCAGCAGGTCCCGGGCGAGCTCCGAGGAGCTTTCCTGCTCYGTCACACCTGGAGTGCACTTAGCTCGTGCAGGAGCACAGCACAGCTTTGATCAGGGCTGTGCGATTAGGTCCACTGTGCGAATTCTGGGACTGAAGACGTAGCTGGGCCACACTGCAGTGCCCGGAGCCCATACATTATATGGTGGAAGGAAAACAGACCAGCCCCCAAGGAGAAATCAAGCAGAGAAAATGCATTCCCCCTGCCCCTGCTTCTGGCTGCTTTTGAGGTTTTCCTCGCTTGCTGCTGCAGCTGGCCGTGTTTGGGCTTGGATAAGCTTTCCTCCTGGCCAGGGAGGATCTGACGAAGGYGGCAAAGCCAGACGAGTCGCGGGGGCAACGCTCAGCGAGCTGCTCCGGCTCTGCAGCCGCATCAGGTGCTGCAGCCTTCTCAAGGCAGCGGTGGAACGAGGGCAGGTCTGTGCGCGCCCTGCGTGCGCCCTCCCTGCGCTCCGGCACAGTGTGGCCCAGACGGCTCCTGCTCCTGCTTCTCCTGCCCTTGTTCTTCTGCAAGGACCAAGTCTTGATTCTTTCTGGCATCCGCTGTGCAGGGGTTTGTGCCAGCACCGGCACTGGCACCCGGACTCCATCTACAGGGTGACATCCCTCGGTCCCCACATACTGTGAGTGCCCAGCTGCTGCAAGGTGGCTTTTGCAACCAGCACAAGGGCAGATGAAAAAGTCAGARTGATTCCTCAGATCCCAATCCTCTTTGTTGAGTTGATTTAGATCTTGGGGTGGGGGGAAGAGGGTGGCACGATGCTTTTTGGGCTTATCTCTACTCAGTCCTTCTCTCGATTTCCTTTCTTGTCATATGCCACCTGTTTTTTAGGATTTCAATCTCTTCCCTTCCCCTCAGTAGCTCAGTAAATGGGAAATTATTGTGGTCCCTTTCTAAACTGGGAATATGTATGCTGGATTGGGTCTTGCAGTAACTCTGGTCTCTTGAAGGGGAGCCAGCTTTCTGATGTGCTGTGGCTCTGTGGGATTACAATCCCTGAATAGTCAAGAAATGTTAAAGGAGCCTAAAAACACATGCTGCTTCCTACCCTTCCTGGAGACTTGAAGAGATGKTCCCTTGCCTTGTGCTTCCCACAGAAGTCCCACGTTTTCCCCCATAAAGAAGGGATGACAGCAGTGTTACAGGAGGCACCTTCCCCTCACCCAGTTCTCAGCCTCCCAGGTCTGGCAGAAGAGAACTGCGACCATCTGCTCTCAGTGGTGCCCATCTGTTTTTGCACTGAGAAGCTGCGGAGCAGGAGGACTTGGCTCAGGCTCCTGTGCAGCTCTGGGGAGCCAGGCCTGGCTGCTGGAGTRGGAGTCCCCTCTTGCTGCAGGGAAGAGTGGGCTGCTCTGAGACCGTTTTAGCTGCAGGCAAAAGCCCCTGAGGAGCAGCACGGCAACACGGCAGTTCATCTTCCTGGGGGTAGAAGTCCTGTTAAAATAGAAATGCAGTTCAGGAGTGATGCTCATACTTTGGCCTCTGTGTGAGCTGCTTGCAGCTGCCCGGGTCACGCACTGAGCTGAGCTCCTTTGTATAGGGAGAGGGCTTGAGCCTTTGCTGCAGACACAGGAAGGGCTGGAGCACTTGTGGGGCCTGRGTTCTCCTCCAGCCACGTTCCCAAGGAGCATCCCGTGCGACTCCTGTGTGACACCYGCTGTGTGCTGGCAGCTCTGCTGGCCCTTTAGAGCATCTCCCTTGTTCCAGGGAATCTCTTTGCTGCCCAAGCGTGAGYTGAGCGGGGAAGAAGTTTCCTTCCTCCCTGTTCCCTAGGGACACCATCTGCTGCTACATCCTGGTTGTTCCACCAGCACTGGGAAAACTTTCTGCATAAATAGTGTCTTGGAGGGCTGAGGTGCTCTGGATCACACGGTGCTCCCACAGGCTGCGCTCATCTCCAGGAAATGAGCAGATTGTCTCCTGCYGGAGGTCCCCACCCGACCACTGGCCTGTCCAGCCCTTCCCTGTCCCGTGCTTAGCCCTTGGGGGAGTAGAGCAGGATTGCAGCCAGTTTGCCATGGGAATGGGTACATGTAAGTGCATGTGTGTGCACACGCACGTTGGGTCATGGCTGTGCAGCACATGCTCTGCAAGAAAGATAAAAACTGTTCACAGCACCTGGAGATAAATCTACTGCCGGCTTTAATGAGAGGAAGAAAGGGTCCCTTGCATTTTTCATTAGATGGCATGAACTCTTCCTGGTCTTGAGAAGCARGCTGCCTAATTAAGCGGTCCCGTTGCTGTGATCAGAGGCAGGGGCCGGCAGGGCTACTGCGAGGCCCCTGCCATCTCCATCATTCCTCGACTTGCACAGAGRCCTTTCCTGCCAGGGCACCAGCTTGGGGACCAATGAACTTCTCTGCTCTCCATCCTCTGAGGCTGCCCTGCAAGGTRTGGGATGTGCCCTGATAAGCCACTTCTATCAGGGGCTGTAGCAATTCTGCTAAGTCCCAAAGGAGCCAAGGCTGCAGGGCTGAGGACTGGTGGGCACCTACCTTGCCAGCTCTGTGCCCGAAACCCTTTGGTACTGGCTCTTTGTGTGTGTGTGTGTGTGTGTGAGACCATGACCATGCCTGGTGACCCCAGGACCTTGCTGACTGCTCTTCTCTCGCATTTGGTATAGACGCTGGACATGGACACAGAGGATGACCCCTTGTTACAGGACGCCTGGCTAGATGAGGAGGAGGAGGAGGTTGCCTTCACTGCACAGAAGAAGCAGGAAGGTACCCTGCTGTGTGGGAAAAGCCCATGGAAAGTCCGGCCTCTGCAAACCACGCTGCCAGTGACTGGTTTCTGGAATGTTGTTGGCTGGATATTTACCAACCCGTACTGCGCTGGCTTCATCCTTTTCCTTGGCTGCACTATCCCTGCTGTGCTCGCCGTTGTCATGTTCCTTCACTATCCAGCCCTGGACATTGACATCTCCTACAAYGCTTTCGAGATCCGCAACCACGAGTCCTCCCAGCGCTTTGATGCGCTCACCTTGGCCCTCAAGTCCCAGTTTGGGTCGTGGGGCCGGAACCGCCGGGACCTGGCTGACTTCACCTCGGAGGCCCTGCAGAGACTGATCTCCCAGCAGCTCCAGCAGCTGCACCTCAATGCCTCCCACCTCGGGCGGGCCGCGCGGGCCAAGCGTGGCATGCCGGAAGGCAGGACTACCTCCCCCAAGCCTCGTGCCCGTCCGAGGGTGGGAAACCAGACTTTGCGAGTCGCGAGGGCTGCCCCACGCTGGGACTACTCCAGCACCTACATCAGTGCCAACACACAGACACATGCCCACTGGCGCATCGAGCTCATTTTTCTGGCTCGTGGCGACTCTGAGAACAACATTTTCACTACTGAGCGCCTRGTCACCATCCATGAGGTCGAGCGCAAGATTATGGATCACCCTCGCTTCCGGGAATTCTGCTGGAAGCCCCATGAGGTCTTGAAGGACCTGCCCCTGGGCTCCTACTCCTACTGCTCCCCTCCCAGCTCCCTTATGACCTACTTCTTCCCCACTGAAAGAGGAGGGAAAATTTACTATGATGGCATGGGACAAGACCTTGCTGACATCCGAGGTGAGCTGGGCTGAGGGCGAGCATGTCCTAGGCTCACATGTCCTGTGTGTTGAGGCAGCCCCTTACTGAAGTGCAGCTGGGATGGGGACTGTCTTGTGCAGAGTGGAGGGTGTTGCCACGGTTTGCCTTGAGTTGCCTTTGGAAAGCACCCCTTTCTAGCCCTTCAGCAAAGCCCCATCACCTAGTGATGGGTCACAGAGGCTCCGCCAGCAAGTGAATGAGAGAGGGACAGAAGAGGGGAGGTGCTGCATGTTACAGGTGCCTTCACTGACCCTTGGTCCTTGTGAATGACCATGGGTCATTAGAGCCATATTGGGTCTTGGGCAGACAGTGGGGACTGAACTTCCCTGCCCCAAGTAGCAGATGAAAGAGGTCTGTGAGCTGCTAGGGGCTTGAGATGCAGCTTGTGAGTCACCAGCTAGAAAGGCTGCTGTTGGAAGAAGGGGGAGAAAACCCTGGCACCACCATCTCCTCCTATCTCTGCTCCTGCATGACGCCTCTCCACTACAGCAGCGGCTCGGAGTGGTGAAGGAGAGGTGAATCATGACGGGTCTGTGGGTGTGATATGGCTGTGGGATGAAACCTCCATCTGTCTCCCAAGCTCAGGCTGTAGATGATAGCTGCCCAGGAGCCATACRGAGAGCAGGCTAGGATTAACTCCATCTGCTCCAGTGTGAACAACAGCTCCATTACCCAAACAGGAAAGAGCCTAGTTCCTGTTTTATTCCAGCCTCCTCTCAAGGAAACTTGGATTTTGGAGGTGGATGTGCACTATCTCTTACTCCAAGATGGCTGGCTCTGTTCTTCAGGGTGTGCTTGAAGAAATGGAGTCTCCTTCTTCTCTGTTATACCTCCTGATTATCTCCTGCATTGCAGATGATCATGTTACCGTAGTTCAGTGACTTGCTGCTTGCCAGATGAGCCCTGWCACTGCTTCCTATGCATTCTGTTTGCCTGTTGAGAATGAGAGGTCAACAATAGAGCTTTGCTCAGCTCTCCTTGCTCCCTGCAAGGCAACCATACTCTGCAGCACTCTGATGAAAGGCAGGATCACTCTCCGGTCTGCCATTGCACAACTAGACCCTGTGCCTTCCTCAATCAGCTAAGCAGGAGCTAACAGAAGTGGTGCTGCTTCCTCCTGCAGGGTCCCTGGAGCTAGCCATGACCCACCCCGAGTTCTACTGGTACGTGGATGAGGGGCTGTCTGCTGAGAACATGAAGAGCTCCTTGCTGCGGAGCGAGATCCTCTTTGGGGCACCGCTACCCAACTACTACTCGGTGGAGGACCGCAGGGAGGAGCAGCGCCGCAAGTTCCAGAGCTTTGTGGTCACCTACGTGGCCATGCTGGCCAAGCAGTCTACAAGGTGAGGGCTGCCGCAGCCAAGGCAGCTGCCTTGCTTGAAGGAGGGCAAAGGCAGGAGGCGGCGGAGGCTGGGCAGGATGGTACTTGTTATTGCATTAAAGGAGTGGCTGGAATAGACTTTTCAGCATGTCAATGTTTTGCCCTAAGGTTTATGTTGGTCAGACCTGTCCACGTGGCTGAGACCCTGCAGTGTTGAGTGTCACCTGGGAGGCGTGAGGTTCAGAGCGCTTGGCATGCCAGCTCCAGCTGCTGCTCAGGCTCAAGCAGCAGCTGGTGTTACCCTCCAGGGGAAGGAGAGAAAGGATCTCCCTTGAAACTGGGCTCTGGCACAGTGCTGGGTGTGAGGATGGGGGTGTATGGCAGAAAGCCATTCACATGCTTCCCTTTAATGCTGCGGCAGTGTGCCAAAAGCATCAGTAGAGACAATGAAATGGAGCCAAGGATTTATTCCAATGCCTGCTTTTCTGCTCAGCCCCTGTATGGCATTGCGTGTATTCACATCCATCTCACAAGTCCAGCTGCTGCTCTCCATGCCTCGTCTGAACTTCACTCCAGCTCTTCTGATCCAGGAGATGAAACGGCCCTTGGTTAAGGCTCAGTCTGAGGGTCTCATTCTGCTTTTGTTCAGTGTAAACTCTTCCAAGTGTTCAGTCCTTATACAAAGTGGGAGAGGTGGGGGTGTCAGGGCAGAATAAATTTCAGGAAAGCAGGCTTGTGTGACCCTGGCCTGGATGGTTCCAGGCCTGTGTATGCAGACACCAGCATGTCCGGTCAAACAGGGCTTTGCTCAGTGCTTGTCGGAGGGAGAGGATGAAACAGCTAACAGGGAAAGTGCCTGTTCACCCCAGGGAAGCCAACTACCCAAAAGCTGGGGCAAGACAGCGGGTTATGATGACAGTGCTGCTTTTGGTCTCTACTGTCCTGAATCTCCGTAGCTTTCAGAGCAAAGGGATGCTGAACTTCAAAAGCAGAGTGAAATGCAGCCAGCCCTTACCAGCCCTGGAAAGCACACAGCGGTAAAGCGCTCTTAGCAGGGCTGGCAGAGAGGTGCAGTGCTGGGAAGCTGAGAGGGGACTGAGTTCTGAAGCCTGGTTTCCTTGTAGGCTCCCATACTGCAGGGCTATTGTACTCCCTCTTAAATTATCTTGGATTACTTCCTCTCAGAGCCTGCTTCCAGAAGCAGAGGCTGGTAAATCATCTGGTTCTTGATAGGCTCGCAGACTGCCTGCATCCACTAGTTATTACCTTTGTGCTTAATATAATAAGCAATGATTAGGATTCCAGATGAAATTGGCTTTGGAGGCTTCAGGAGATGTTTGCTGACAGCAAGAAGTCTATTAGTGCCATGGACCCAATATGCACTGGAGGAATTTTTAAAATAATGCTATTTTATTTTTCTCTCCTTGTGCAAACTTCACTTTCTAACATCCCTCCAGCAGCAATCTAGTTCAGCTCACTCCCACTGCTGTCTGAGCTGCTTTCTCAGAGAACTGCCAAGTTTATTAGATCAGTGACCTTCTTTGGCTCCTGAAGGGACCATGTGCTTTGTTTAATTCCCCAGCTCTTCTCCCTTTACACTCAATTCTTCCTACTGCCCTTTCTTCCTCCCTATCTCCCCACCGCAGCAAAGTCCAGGTGCTGTACGGAGGGACGGATTTGTTCGACTACGAAGTGAGGAGGACCTTCAACAACGACATGTTGCTGGCCTTCATCAGCAGTAGCTGCATAGCTATCTTAGTCTACATCCTTACCTCCTGCTCAGGTAGGCCACAGTCAGAGCTGTCCAACTCTCACATGTGCTCCCTGCATCCACGTGCAAGCCCCAGGAGAGGCTTCAGTGCTCTGACCCCAGCTTGGCTTTACAGCACAGCACCACACAAAGGGTCACATGAGTCTCTGATTTTTCGACAGAGGTTACAGACAAGGGCTCATGTGAGAAAAGGAGTGAAATGTAAAATCCTCCCTTGCTAACTCTGGTGTAAAGCAAACTTGTTTCACTGGTGGGGAGCATTCTGCAGGCTGTGCTCCTGCACTCCGGAGCCGTTCGTCCTCCCACTGCAAGCTTTCCCCAGCACAGTCCTGGGAACCAGCATGCCTGTGGGCAGGTGGGAGGTGGCCGTTCTTTCTAGGGGCAGCCAGCAGTGGTGGTTTTCCATGTTGCTTTCCTTCTGCAGTTTTCCTGTCATTCTTCGGCATTGCCAGCATTGGGCTAAGCTGCCTGGTGGCTCTGTTCCTGTACCACGTCGTATTTGGGATCCAGTACCTGGGCATACTCAATGGTGTGGCTGCCTTTGTCATTGTGGGCATCGGTAAGCACATTTACACAAACCTTCTGTTCTCCTTTGCCATAACCACTGGCTGCAGAAATAGGAAGGTGAGGCTGGCAGATGCAGACTGAATTTTCAAGCCTTTTTCCACCCCTGTTTCCTTTCCCCCCTTCCAGGTAGAAAGTTGGCAAGTTACATGTTCAGAGGACATGCATTTTTAGTCTCTCTGAGCTGTGCACAATTATCCAGTGGCTGATTTGGCCCTGTACATCCTGGTTGGTCAGTCCTGGTTCACCTGGATTAGGTTTCTGGTGGTAGCAAATTTTCAAAAAATCTTCCTTTTCTTCCCCAGGAGTTGATGATGTCTTTGTCTTCATCAACACTTACCGCCAAGCCACCCACCTCAAGGACCTTCGGCTGCGCATGATCCACACTATTCAGACAGCAGGAAAAGCCACTTTCTTCACTTCCCTGACCACAGCTGCTGCATATGCTGCCAACATCTTCTCCCAGGTATGTTGCAGCTTTGGGATTTGGCGTTTTCTGTTTCTAACACGGGCTGTGATTGAGAAGGAAGCTGCCAGCACTTTCCAACTCTTTTGCAGTGCAAACATATGCCCAACTCGCCCTGGAGGGCTCTCCCTCACCTGCCGTAGAGCAGTGAGCACTTTCTGTATCCACGGCAATATTTCCATTGCCATTGATAAGCGAGGTCCAACGGCAGTTGGGCTCCAGTTCAGCTTTGCACCTGCCTGTAGCCGAGGGCAGCATGAGCTGTTCTCAGGGTGCTCCAGATCTCSCTGGCATGCTGTTTCACCAGGCCTCACCTTAGCAATTTTCTGATCCCAGCTCTGTGTTCTCTCTCTTTCTGTGTAGATCCCAGCTGTGCATGACTTCGGGCTCTTCATGTCCCTGATTGTGTCCTGCTGCTGGGTAGCTGTGCTTTTCACCATGCCAGCTGCCCTTGGAATATGGACCCTTTATATGTCCCCACTAGAGACCTCCTGTCAAACCAGGTGAGATCTGGAGCCTTCTTTGTGAGTTTGAACTTGTTTGGCCGAGTTGGCCAAAGGCCTGTGGCACATTGCCTAGTGTGCAGATTCCTGCCCTGTCTCTCTACCATCTTCATGCCCATCAGACAGTTTAGCTCAGCTATACCCTGTTAGTCTGTAGTGGAAGAGAAGATTAACTTATGCCCTTCCAGATCAAAGCAAAATTGAAAAGCCAAGTTACAGTCTTGTTCCCTCTGTTGTATGTATAGTTGCCACCAGGAATCAGGGGCTATGCAATGTTGGTGATGACTCTTTGTCCAGTTCCCTGGAGCGTTGGATCTATCTGTGTCCTTAGAGCACTYATTGCGCAGCCAAATCCTCCAGCTGTGGAGACACAGGTGCTGCAAAGCGGGCAGAGCAACAGAGCTCCTGCCTCTGAGCACAAGCAGCGCATATAGATTTGTATCTCCATGCTCTTTAGCAGTGTGGGTGACCTGGCCTGATTTAATTAATTAGCAAAGAGATGAACTGAAGCTGCCATCATTGTGCACCAAGCCATCGCTGCCCAGCCCTRCCCTGGGTGTCCAGCCCAGGTCTCTGCTGCTTTGCCAGAGCAGCTCAGCCCCTGACCACTCAGTGCTTAGCAATAGAAATTGCTTCTGGTACTGCCTGTACCTGTGCCTGTACTTTTCAAGTAATTGTAGCAAGGCTGTCACTGCTTTTCTTATTGCTAAAGGAGCCTGTTGGTAGCTCTTTGCAGAGTATATGGTACACAGCTCATGCTGTCTCCTTCCCTCCCTGAATCCAGCTGCAATCAGAAGTGTACCAGAAAGAGTGCCTTGCACCTGGCTGAAGATCTCTTAATTTTCTCTGAGGCTACCTCCAGAACTGGCCAAGAGACCCTTCCCTATCTGGATGATGATATTCCACTCCTCAGTGCGGAGGAGGAGCCTGGTAGGTGCTTATTGCCTGCTGCCTTTAGGAGACCACGGTGTCCTGGAGKCTTTCTGTCCCTGACATTTGTCTATGTCTGTTTCCCTACTCTTACGCTGGGGGTAGTGCTATCACAGGAGGTTGTGGGAGTATGAACTCATTAATTCCAGCCAACTACTTTGAGATCTTCAGTGGGTGTTGATACACACTTACTAACTCTTTGCTAGTCCTCTTGGGTCTAATGCAGATTTTACTTTCCAGATGGAATCCTTAACTGCTCTGTGCATGTAGCCACAAAACATCTAATCCACTGCCCCAGGACGCCCTGTCTTCGAGTAGAGGAAGAGTCTCTCCCCCTTTCTTGCCATTCAGAGCAATGTGATTGGGAAACGGGCAAGAGAACACTGTTATTCTCCAGCATGACCTTCTCACGGCATCTCTTCCCTCATGGCAAAGATGGCAATGTCTTTCCTGAGACTGCATAATCTAGAAAAAGAGCCCAGACATGCACTYGTCACTTGTTAATAGCAGATATTTCCTCTAGCCCTGACTAAAGATAAGGGTACTTATGGGTCATACTCTGTTATACTGGGCTTTTAAAACTTGCTGGGATCTCTTCCTTTTTAAATCCCACAACGGGAATGTTCTGGGCAGGAGGTTGCCTTCAGCATAGCCCTGAATACTGAGGYTACCCTTGACTTTTCTCTTTCTAGTCTCCTTGGAAATGGGTGATGTCCCCTTGGTATCTGTGATGCCAGAGAATCTGCAACTTCCTGAAGAGAAGAGCAATCGGGGTCACTTGATCGCCCATCTACAAGAGCTGCTGGAGCACTGGGTGCTGTGGTCTGCAGTGAAGAGCAGATGGGTGATTGTGGGTAAGGAAGGAGGGGAGATATTTCATCTGCATGGATTTAAAGGGTTTTACAGGATCTTGATCAATAACGCAGCTTGGATTGCTGGTGAGAAGAGATTGCGTTAAAGGCACTTGATAGGCAGTTCTGACCCCCACTGGATGAGTGTCCCCAGCACAGAGGGTCCCTGGGAGAAACTGCACAAGGAATTCAAATACTTTTCCATCCCTCTTTTTACCCTCAGATGGCAGATCCTGATGGGAGGCTTTCTAGTCATGGGGCTTATAAAGAGAAAGCCCAGCTGCAGGGGTAGTTCCCTTCTTCCCTTGAAAACAGCATCTTGCCTCCATTCCTCTGCTGCATGGCTGTGTCCCGAGTACAAGGTGCAGTAAGGCTCCCACACACTTATCAGGGCTTCTTCTTGCAGGGCTCTTTCTCCTCGTTTTGCTGCTGTCCATCGTCTTTGCTAGTCGACTCCRTCCAGCTAGCCGTGCTCCAGTTTTATTCCGGCCAGATACAAACATCCAGGTGCTGCTAGACCTGAAATACAATCTGAGTGCTGAAGGCATCTCCTGCATTACCTGCTCAGGTGAGAGTGCTGGTCCCCAGGCTACACTGGCTGCAGCCTGACCCAGATCCTGGGTTGAGGGTGCTGAAACATGAGATAGAGGTCTGAATCTTCCCAAGATTTCAGTGCASAGATCCCACTGACAGGAGTAGCCACCTGGGAGGGCAAGGGTGCAGTTCCCCATGGAACTCCGTATTTTCAAAAAGATGCTTTAAGTCAGGATCTGGCTGAATGTTTCTGCTGGAGCAATTCCTTTGTAGTCCAGGAAAAGTGACTACTCTCTCTTCTCTAGGCAGCAATACTGCAACACAGGGTCATGACAAGAGGCTCCTTTTAAACTTGGAGACCATCCCAGTGCTCAGATTGGGGGTTGTGGCTCTGTATCCCTTGGTCAGGGTTTGGTGTTCGATATCAGAGTCCCTGATGTTTTCCATGCTCAAGCAGCTGCATGCGCAGGGCTGGCAATTCTCTTACCGTAACATTCACCCTTTCATCCCTGACTAACTTTTTGGGACAGGTTTGTTTCAGGAAAAGCCCCACAGTTTGCAGAACAACATCCGAAACTCTTTGGAAAAAAAGAAGAGGGGCTCAGGATTGCCCTGGGGAAGCAAAGGAAGCATAAGTGATACAGGGCAGCAAGGTGAGTGTGATCTGGTGACTGTGGCTTTGGCCACATTTGGGTCCAGGGCCCAGAGGTCCACCGAGGTGAAGATCAAATCATTTGTTCTGAATAGCTCATTGGGARTCATTTTATCCAGGCACACCACTACCATCCCTGGCTTGATGCTGGAGCCAAAGGGCATCAGTGCTATCCTCCTTCACTCAGATTTCTTATGCTGTTTGTGTAATTGGACACTACAACCAGGGTGGCAGCACAGTGTAGTAACGGGTCTCCCTCCTCTGCCCTGCCTGAGCACGTATTTAGTAGCTCAGAGCTTTTACATCCCAGTCCCATTTCACAGCCTTGTTGGCAGGCTGTGAGGAGAGTAAATTCAGCCTGCRTCTCAGGGGATTTTGAGGATAAAAGAGTTATTGGGCCAGGTCCTAGGTTGATGCGAATCAATAAGCCGTCACGAATTACTGCAGCTCAGGATGTATTTCTGAAATCCTTTGAAAGATGTGCTGCGCTGCTAGAAGGCAGACACTGTGCCTGCTGCCCCAGAGGAGACAACAGACCAGAAGCCCCTCTTCTGCTCCTGCCCCTATCTATAGGATTTACTGATTGAGAAGTGCCATTAACACTCATTCCCCCACTGTGTGTTCCCCAGATCTCCAGGGCACTGTGTATATCTCCAAGTCCAGAGGCAAGGGTAGACCTGCCATCTACAGGTTCTCGCTCAATGCCAGTGTCCCTGCCCCCTGGCAGATGGTGTCTGCAGGAGATGGAGAGGTGCCTTCATTCCAGGTGAGTCACGGGATCTTGGAGTTCTCTCAAGAGTGCAGCACACATCAGGTGAGCACAGCACAAGAGCCTCCTGTCTGTCCATAGGGCCCTGGGTAGCACAGGGACATGCAGGGTATTGCAGAAAGGCTGCTGACAGTGCAGCCGTTGTGCCTGGCAATGGAAGAGATTAGACCTGGCACTGCCACCATACTGGGCTGTTGCTGTTGTGTGACTGTCARCAATGGAAGCATGAGTGTGGGATACCTGTGGGAATCAGATGGGGCCTGACATCCTCAGACAAACTCCCTCTCTCCTACAAACTGCTACTGAAACAGTTTGATTCCTGCTGCCTCTTGTTGTGCCCAGAGAGCTGGCGAGCAGGCAACACGGATCSTGTTGGTCTGTGCATGTCCAACACAAGCACAGGAGAAGCTGCTTTCAGATCTCCCTAACCCTGCATGGAGTAGCCGCCATCCAGCCTAGGGTCGTGGAGAACGGGGGTGGTGAGGGACCCTGTGAAACAACAGCCCTGGCTGGGAAGGAGGCAGGCTGGGGCCTGACTTGGTTTGTGCCTGCAGGGCTCATTCTGTGTGTCTGTGCCAGCGCTCAGGGAGGAGGGGAGCGTGTGATGCTGACGTGTGACAAGCTACAACCCCACGGCGTTAAGTGTCTGTTTTCATTAATCCATTGCTTAGGTGTATAGAGTGCCTTTCGGTAACTTCACCAGGAAGCTGACAGCTTGTGTGTCCACAGTAGGGCTGCTTAAGCAGACGAGCCCCAGGAAGTGGATGATGACCACCTTGTCCTGCGATACCAAGAGAGGCTGGAAGTTCGACTTCAGTTTCTACGTGGCCGCCAAGGAGCAGCAGCGAACGCGGTAACCCTCCAAAACCCACTGAGGGCCAGGCAGCAAAACCAGCACAGCCAAACAGCTGCTAAAGGGTGCCTCGTGTCCACTGTCAGCCCTGCCCTCAGTTGGTGACATCCCTGGAGGCCTGGCTGTGCAGCAAACATGCCCTGCCTTTGCAGAGTTGTTTTGCAAGCCCATCATTGATGTGGCAAAGGCAGGCTCTGGGTTGTGACTGAGAGCWTCTTTGGGTGGCAGAAACAAATTACTGATTTTTGAACTCTCCCTTACCGGCCTGAACTTTTGGGCTGAACAGGCAGCACACCATACTTGTGGCTGGGGATCCAGATCTGGAGTTGCTCATTTTCTCCTTCCTCATGCCCCTGAGATTCTCTCTAGTGCTTTCCACGTGGTACTTTGGACACACCATCTTTATCACCTCTGATCCTTCGTAATGAACTTTGTTTGCACAGGAAGCTGTATTTCGCCCAGTCGCACAGGCCCCCTTACCACGGCCGAGTGTGTGTGGCACCTCCTGGCTGTCTTCTCAGCTCTAGCCCAGATGGACCCACCAAAGGCATCCTGTATGTTCCCAGTGAGAAAGGTAAGCTGATAAGGGCCTGTTCAGCTCTTACTGATGCTTTCCGGAACAGTAAAGAAGTCTTTGCTTTCTTCTGATTCAACCTTCCTTTCTTCTGTATTTGACAGCAGCACCAAAAGCAAAGCTCTCAGCTACTTCTGGATTTAATCCTTGCATGAACACTGGCTGCGGGAAGCCAGCAGTGCGGCCACTGGTGGACACAGGAGCCATGGTGTTTGTGGTGTTTGGGATCCGAGGGGTTAACCGTACTAGGCGCATGGACAACCACGTCATTGGAGACATGGTACACACACTTTCTGGCRTGCTGAACAGCCTTGCCTAGGGCTGATGAGTGAAGGAAGGTCCCCCTGGATAGGGTTTAGTTAATCCCCACAGCCCAGGCGACGTGGTCCAGCAGACYAGCCAGATGGAATAGCAGAGATGGCAGCACTGGGATGAGCCTAAAGCACATTTCTGTTTTAACAAAATCACAAATAATGGAGATAAGCCCATTGCTGAAATCATTTTAGACTTGCCAGCAAATCCCTTTGAGCACCATGTCTAACCTTCTAATTTTGAATCCTGAGGCTTTTAGAAGCAAAGGCRTCCTGAACTCTGTATGGAAACCTCACTATAAACTCCAGATCTCAGCAACTGCTGATTTTCTATAATTATTGTTTATCCTGCTGTGAAATATTAACACAAATACAAATCCACTACTGTATCAGAGAAATGTTCCTGAATATAACTTGTCCAGAAACAGTTTTTCTCCAAAATCTGATACTTGGACACATTCACAGCCTTTCCCCAGATAAATTTTGTGTAATTTGCTCCTGGCAAATGCACGTCAACTTCTCGCAATTCCTCCTGCCTTTTGACTGGGTGGAACTGGGGAGAATAAGCCCATTCCTTCTGGAAGAGGCAGTGCAAAATGCAGGCAGTGCAGTGGGCAGAAAGCTGGAGTTCAGCTCTGGGCAATGCTCCCTTTGCAGCTTCTCCTTAGGCAGAAACAGCCRTGCTCGCAGCAGTGCTTCCCTCATCCTACTTGAGTTTTTGCCAGAGCTTCTTACTGGGTTTTCTGGCAAAGCAAAGATTTCTGATTTTATTTTACTTCCTTTTATTTTAATTTTTAACACTTTATGGCCGAATTGAATTGTGACAATGGTACAAGTCGTGGTATGGGCAAAGTGCAAAAGTCCATTGGTAAATTTGTGTGGTTGAGCTTTTTCCTTTCCCTCAAAGAGCAGGCAAATTCACTGAATAATTCAGGTTGGGAGGGACTTGGGGATGTCCTGTAGTCTAGTCCAGTGAGTGTCTGCTGCAGGTGTGCCTATAGGGGACATGAGGACAGGTTTCCTATGCAGGTGGAACTTGACCCCGTGGGTACAAAGGTCCTTCCTCAGGTTGTGCTCATCAGAGCTGGTCCCAGACTGTGTGTCCGGGAGAGGACTTGCTTTCTGCCTTCATGTGCCAGTTGCCATGTGTGCCTCATGTGTGGTGCTCTTGTTGTTGTGTCTCCTTGGGAAAGGGCAGCGTTATCTATGATGACAGCTTTGACCTCTTCAAAGAGATTGGCAACCTGTGCCGCCTCTGCAAAGCCATTGCCAGCAACACTGAGCTGGTGAAGCCAGGAGGGGCTCAGTGCCTACCCTCTGGTACGTAGGACTAATGCCAGTTGCAGGGTCCTTGGGAAGATCTGGAGAACCTGGGTGGATGCTGGTTCTCATCCTCCAGGCTGAGGAGGGTGGCTGTAAGGGTTTAAAATTTTAGATCACAGGTTGGTGGGCTCCTCTCTGTGCACGTTGCTTCAGGTGCCTTACCAGGGACCGTTTCCCAACTCTAGCAGTCAGATAGCTGAGTTTAGAGAGGGGCTATGTGTTTTAGGCCAAAAGCCAACCTCACATCTTCACAGCTGAAGAAAATCCCTGCCAGGCTAGAGAGACAGCTACTGTGCTGACAGAATTCAGCACTTGCTGTTCGTGAAGGCTGGGGACAAGCAGTCGGGGTAGTGTCCTGCTGGGTCCTGAGGGCCCTCTCAAGCTAGCAACAGTTAATGGCTCTAGTGCTGAGAATCTAAGCGYTCTCACAAGTCATAGTTTCAGGGGAGCAGCTACTGCTAAGTGGGGTCTGCAGCTTTCTTTTGTTTTCTTCCCTCTTGCTCCTGTATATTCCCTTTTCCTTTACTGTTCTCCACTCCTTGGTTTTGTTTTGTTTTGTTTTTTTCTCTGCAGGTTATAGCATCTCCTCCTTTCTGCAGATGTTGCACCCTGAGTGCAAGAACATCCCTGAGCCAAACCTGCTGCCTGGGCAGCTTTCTCATGGGGCAGTGGGAGTGAAGGATGGAAAGGTGCAGTGGATCTCCATGGCATTTGAATCGGTGAGCACATGGCATCACCATCTCCCTCTGTGAAGGTTCATTGTGGCTTTTTAGGGGTTTAGTTGTGCTTTCCCTGCACTGGCCACTTCCACTTGCAGCTGCAGTTTGGTGCTTCCTCATTCCTTGTTGCGAACAGATGCCTACACACCACTCTKTCCTTGAGAGCTTGGACAGAGCTGGTGGCCATTTACCCATCTGCCACTGCCAGTTTTGCCCGGTGCTGCAACTCCAGTTGGCTTGTTCCACCTCCTCCTTTGCCTTGCAGTCGCTGCTCCCAGAGCAGGACACAGCAGTAACTCATTCATCTCCTTACAGACAACCTACAAAGGGAAATCTTCCTTCCAGACATATGCTGACTACCTGAAATGGGAGACATTCCTACAGCAGCAACTTCAGCTCTTCCCAGAGAGCTCTGTTCTCCGACGTGGCTTCCAGACCTGTGAACACTGGAAGCAGATCTTCATGGAGATCATAGGCAAGTGACTKCTGTGTTTATCTGCCTGAGAAAGCCTAGCTCTCTGACATACCTTCATGGAGGTCAGTCCATCTTATGGACAAGTGTTACTCCCCTTACCCTTGCTGTGCAAGCTCAACGTGTTTAGCTCTGCCCCAGAGGGCTGACAGGGTCGAAATCCAAGGGAACGCCCATGGAAATAGACAGTGAAAGGGACTCTGTCCTGCTCATGTGGCAGGCAAGAATAGGACTCAGGTCACCCCCTTGTYATCCTCCTTTTGCTATCTGCTCAGAGTGGTTGCCCCAGCAGGGTCACAGTGTTTCCCTCACCCCAGCTGTCACCTTGCAGGATGCAAATCAGCTGGCTCTTTTCTTCCAGGAGTGCAGAGCGCCCTGTATGGTCTCATCCTCTCACTGGTTATTTGTGTGGCTGCCGTGGCGATATTCACCACTCATATCCTCCTTCTGCTGCCAGTGCTGCTCAGCATTCTAGGTAAAAGAAAAACAAAACAGACAAAAACAACCCCYGAGGGTCAAGCTTACCCTTGGAAGTATGAAATTGCTGGACTGTRGCACTACTGAGTCTCTGCTGATTTTTTGTTTGTTTGTTTTTGTTGTTGGTTTGGTKTGGTTTGGTTTTTCAGGTGCTTTTAACTCTGTGTAAACCCTTCTGGCTTTCCAGGACTTAGTTCTGATTTACCTGGTTGAGTAGGAGAAAACTCTCCAGAGCGACCTCACTAGGAAAATAGATTTTTGTGTCTAATTCCCAGTGTGTTTTATCTATACAATCCCTTCTATTTGATTAAAGAAGGGTTTTAGCTATACAAATGCCATGTCTGCCTGTTATGTATAATAATGTGATTAAGTCCCACATGCTCTGAATAACAATTGCACTACTTCTCAAGGATCTGCTCTGTGGCTGCTGTTTCCAAGCAGTGGGAGATTTTAAAAGCTGAATATTTCAGCAGTTTTGTTAGTATATGAAGCAAATTTGTAAACAGCCTCCTTCTCCCTGGCTGGTGATTTGACGATATTATGGACTAAGTGTGTTGCTAAACTTCCCTGTTTAGAAAATCCCATCTATCATTTTTAAACCACTTAGTCTCCCACTCATGACTCGCAAACAAACATTACTCTTGTCTTAAAAAAAAATCAAAAAAAACCCCAACGCACATGTGTTCAGCTTGTGTGACTTTGGTAAGCAACACACAGCACTACAGGAAAGAAGGTCCTTGATATTTCCTTGTTCCTGCAGGCGTGGTCTGCTTGGTGGTGACCATCATGTACTGGTCTGGCTGGGAAATGGGGGCCGTGGAAGCCATTTCCCTCTCCATCCTCGTGGGCTCCTCCGTGGATTACTGCGTGCACCTGGTGGAGGGCTACCTGCTGGCAGGGGAGAACCTCCCGCTGCACCAGGCAGGGGTGAGCCTGGGGGGCAAGAAGCGGGGGGTGAGTTTTGCTACCTGGCAGCATGTCCAGACCGGCTGCTGCTTCCCCAGCTGCCTGGTTTGAGTGCTGCGAACTGATGTGCTTGAGTACAGGGAACCCAGGAAGGGTCTTCCCATGTGGCTGTCCCTTTTGCTGGCCACTGGGTATGGCTATTTACAAAGGGACCCTCCTTTCATGCCCCAGTGAAGACCATCCTGAGATACCCTGATGTCTGCACTCATGCAGCATCGTTGTCCTGGACGAGCTAGCACAGCCCCCTCAAGGGCTCGACATCGTTGCAGCTCCGTGTGCTCATCCCTGCTCCCTCTTACCGCTGCCATCCCTTCTGCCAGGACCCCACAGCGTGCCGCCAGTGGAGAACGATCGAAGCCRTCCGCCACGTGGGCGTCGCAATCGTCTCGAGCGCCGTCACCACAGTCATCGCTACCGTCCCGCTCTTCTTCTGCATCATCGCCCCTTTTGCCAAGTTTGGGAAGATCGTGGCCCTCAACACCGGAGTCTCCATCCTCTACACACTAACTGTGAGCACCGCCCTGCTGAGCATCATGGGGCCAAGCACCTTCGTCCGGAGCAGGACTTCCTGCCTCAAGGCCTTGGCTGCGGTGCTTCTTGCCGGCCTGCTGGGCCTGTGCATCTGCCTTGCCCTCGTGAAGAGCGGATTTAAGATCCCTCTCCCTAATGGGACAGCCCTGTAGACCCTACATCAACAGCTACATGTTCTGTCCTCTTGCTCGCTTTCCTGTCTTCTTTTTTTTTTCTTTCCTTCTTTTTTTAAAGGATATCTTTTGTAAGGAAAAAGAAAAAAAAAAAAGGAAAAAAAAATCTCTTTTTTCCAGAAGTTTTTCAACTCCAGATGCACTTTATTTTCTAATGGCTTTTGCTCTAAACTTGTATTTATTTCAGTAGTGATGGATGAATGACTGAAAGTGAGGGCTGCCCAGGGGATACATCAGCCAGAAAATAGCAAGGATGGGAGGAGGTTTCCTTCTCTTCACTTTCTTTCTACTTTGCTTTTCTTTTTTAAATGAACATTCTTTTCTTCTGGAGCCACAAAGGAAAAGGGAAGAAGTAAGGGTAGGCCATCCACTCCCTTTCAAAGCCCTTCCCTTCTCCCCTCTCTTCCCCTTGGCCAAGGTCAGTGTTGCAGTGATGGCTCTTGAAGGGATGTCCTGCCTCCACCCCAGGGCTGCTCATTGCTCCCTGAGTCCATGAAAACAGCAGGGAGCTCATGAACAGCCATGGGGAATGTTGCTGTCTAGGCTCTTTTGCCTGACCTGTGCTCAGCATAGGCCAGGAGAGAGCTCACTGGACAAGAGACACATTTCCAAGTGAGCTGTTCTGCTGGGGGCTTGTGTGGGATCTGGGCAGCATCTCCCAGGGGTATCTGCTCACATCCTTCGTGGGAGCTGCTAGCACTYGTGGCTCTCCCCTTCCTTCTGAAGGGATAATGACCTTTCTTCTCCAGAGATGTCCCCCTGAAGCTCCTGGATCTGGGAACAGCCATCAGGAATGCCACTGGTGCCCATAGCAGCTTGCTCGCCTCTTGCTCCAGCACGTGGAGCCCATGGCTGGGGCTGTGCACAGATCAACAGAGCTGCCTCCCCYGTGGTAGCTCAGATGCAGCCTCTTTTGTGGAGACATGAAGGTGGGGGAGCTTCAGCTCGACGCTGCTGCCTGCTCAGAGCAGATGGTTTATATTAAAGTAAAATGAAATTGCAAACTGGCGCTATTAACAAGTACATTTTAAGCATCACTGATTCCATCATATTCTTCAAACTGAAATAACTAAGCGTGTGCATTGATATGCACCACATCTGGTTCCCAGCAGAAGGGGAGRGTGGTCAGGCCTACTAGGAGCTGCATTAAATATTACTTACAGGCATGCCAACAGAGAGAGGCAGCTGGAACGCAGCGTCATTTGTTTGCAAATCCTAGGTCCCTGGTGGTTTTGCATTCTCTGTCCGAACTAACACCCATTTTGAAGTGGAAATGCCAGGAGGCCAGGCCCTGTTGCCAGCTACGCTCTGGGCACCAGGCTGCTGAGCCCAGCAGCTGCTTCTGCTTGGGCGACTGGCTCCTTGCCCATCTCTTACATCTTTACATCACACCTTTGCTGTTTCCCTTTAAGAGTGGGATCCTCCCTGAGAAAAGGGACCAAGCACTAACTCCTAAAGCAAGTGCTCGGCACCATTAGGCAGCAGCTGGCGTGGGCMGTGCCAGGACAGGACTCACTCGTGTCACAGTGAGGACTCGTTGGGCCTCGGTGGTGCCAGGGGCCAAACAGAGCAAAGCTGCTGCAGACAGTGAGGCTGGGAGAGTAGGAGGAGATCAGTTTTTTAGAGCTGCCATGCAGTTTGGCCCCACCTTTGATCTGCAAACACTTCGTTCCTCAAGGTCTCTTCTCCAAATTTAAATACTGAGGATGTCCTCAGGGGCCCTGTGGGGCTGCACGCAGGAGCAGCCCGCTGAGAGCCTGCAGCACTGCAACCAATGCAGGTGCAGGGACAGAGCAAGGGAGAGCCAGTGCTGCGGAGGAGGCCAGTGCTGGCAGCTTGACCCAGATCCAGCTGCTGCTTCAGCCTCCGCAGAGTGAGAAAGCAGGCGGTTATTTCCAGGTCAGCAGACAGGAGAGGAAGGAATGAAGCACAGGCTTGCACAACGACCCTCCTTCCGTGAGCACGGAGAAGCCTTGAAGGATCATAAAGCAAAGCCTAGTTCTGCCCTGAATCCCGCAAAATGTAAAGCTCGTTCAAGCCCCAGGCATCCTAGGTTGTTGTTCACTATAAAAAGGCTGTGCRAGCTCCTCACCTCCAGCACACCATGCTGGGACTATTCTCAGATGCTTTGGAAGGCAAAAATTAACTTCAGAGCAGTGTGGCAAGCCTTTTATGTCTCCACAGTCTGATTTGGCAGGGTGCTAGAAGTTGCCAGCAGTTTGCTGGGCTGCTGCAGGTAGAGCTCTTAGCATCTAACAGATTTTGTCTCCCGTTTCCCAGAGCAGACAGGAGAAAACACGGGCTGTCATCTTCCTTCCTCGCCCAGGCCCAGCCAGAGCACTAAGGCGGCCTGGTAACAGCAAGAGCAGGATATGACTTTGTCCTTGTATGTCCAAGTTGGTACTAGGAGTGTGCTGGGAAAGCAGTGGCCGGAGCAGTTAAAAGGAGAAGGAGAGAGACTGAGAGAAGCGCAGAGCTGTCACAGATGATTCACAAAGGCTATTGAGAAGCTCAGGCAAGGAAAATGGCAGAGAATCCAGATTCTGCTAGGATGGCAGAAGAGCGATGAGGTGATCCATGCTCTTGCACCCCTAGACCATGATTTCCACCACAAACACCTGCTGGACACTGGTGAGCTGAAAACCTAACCATAATGATGTCATTTGTCTTTTCTTGGAGAGCTAATTGGACATTTATACAGCTGGTGTTGAGAGTGGTTGATGTTTTCTCCATGTGCTCTGTAGTGGAAGAGACTGAGACCTGAGGCCCAGCCTTCCCCAAAATGCTTACGGTGCCCTGATCTCCCCAGGCACTTGTGGAGACAGTAAATCACTGGCACAGGTRCCCATCCATCTCCCGGTAGGTAGGGTTCTCCCTGCTATTAGAAAACAATCCTAAAATTAGAGAGGCAGAAAAATGAGTGGGTTTATGTGAACAAATGCKAAGGTGGAGCTGCCAGCCCTGCTGGGAGTCAGTGCTCCGTGGCAGATGCTCCGAGCAATAAGAAGCACCTGCCTGGCATGGCTTGGGCAGCAGATGCTCCCCTAAATTCGTTCCTCCTCCTCCTCTGCCTGTCTTCATTCTCTAATGACTCTCCCGTCACCCAGATGAGCTCCTGGGCACGTCACCTTGCTGAGCAACGTTCACCTCTTTGGGGGGAGCGGCTCACACCAAGGGCACTTGGAAAGCACGGACGGAAACGTAGTGAATGCTGCTTGAGAGAGGATTTTGCTATTGTGTTAAAATGCTTACCGCAAGGGTATCAATTTTGATGTCTGTAAACACCAGAGCACAGCAGCCCAGTGCCACCAAAATATTCCATCCCACCCTTATTTGAAAAGGAAGGCTCCAATTTTCCATTTCAAAACAATCTTCTTGCTGCAATTATTWTATTAAAGAAGTACACAATTTGGCAGGTGTAGCACACTGAAATGAAGTATTTCTGTTCACKGCCAGCTCATTTTATTCTGGGAAATCCTGATGGGAAGGATGCACGTTGATGTTTCAGGGAGGGAGGATCATTCTAAAACTGCGCAGTTCCCTCAGAAGGGGGCCGGGGACCCCTTGCCTTGTCCCCGCGGGTGCAAACCGTGCTCCCCATTGTGGCACCTCTGCTTTGAGCTTTCACCGCAGCCCGCCGCGGCTCCCCGCGCGGACCGCCTTCCTGAGGCCTCTCCCGCCGCCGCTATTTTCGGTGTCCCCTGGCCTTTGGAGACTGTTGTAAATAAAAAGATTTTGACACTGCCTCGCGCGGCTCCTTCGCCTTCCGCTGCGGCGAGTGCGCGAGCCCGCGGTGACCGTTGGGCACGGAGGGGGGCGGAGCGCGCGAGCCCGCGGTGACCGTTGGGCACGGAGGGAGGGCGGGGCGCGCGAGCCCGCGGTGACCGTTGGGCACGGAGGGGGGCGGGGCGCGCGCACCCGCGGTGACCGTTGGGCGCGGAGAGGGCGCCGCCGCGCGACGCGCCCGAGCCCCTCAGGAGGCGCCGGGAGCCGCCGGGTCGGGTGGAGGCGTCGCCCTGGGCGCTGGTTGCTCCGGGGCAGCTCCCGTCGCGTCTCGCAGATGATCTATGCGCAGGAACGGTGTGTAAATCCCACGCTGACACTCAGCCTCGCAGCCCCAGGTGAACAGGGCTTGTCCGTCGGGCACTCTCGGGGTTTTTCTCGCCCCCGTGGGCACACGTCTTGCCCCTCAGCTCTTCTCTCACACGTGCTCCTCTCTCCTTATCTTCCTCCCTCCCTAAATACCCTGCCCCACGCGCTGTGTTGGCGAGGGGCTGCAGTGCCATGCGGGCTCCTTGCCTGCCTTTGTGCAGATGGAGACGTTGCTGGGCACTGAGCGGGGACCTCAGCTCAGCCCACGGCTTTCTGTGTACCTCAGATATCCTGGGTGTTCCCAGATCTCCAGGAACACTCTTCCCTTGCAAGGAACATCCGGCTCTCTGGGAGAAGGTGACTCACTCTCTTCCTTCCCCAGCGATTTGTGCCCTTGCAGCTGAGTCCCTTGGCAGTCCCAGCAGTGCAGGGGCCGTGAGCAGGGATCTGGCAGACCTGGGTGCGCGTTACGCGGCCCTTGTGCCCACCCCAGAGCTGCAGAGTGGTGCTGATGGAGTGGATGGGTGCCAGGGTTTTCTTTGKTGCAAACCAGTGGGGGAAACAAAGTGAGCTCTGAGCAGCAGGAGCTTGGAAGGTCTGTGCATCTGGTTTTTGATTGTGTTTTTTTTTTTTTTTTCTTTGTGTTTCTTTCTTCCTCAACTTAGGGGAAATTTATTGCCCTCAGAGCTCAGCATGGAGTCACATTCTAGCCAGCTGCACACAACAAGCATTAGGAAAGGCCAGGCAGTCTGGCAGCRGGAGCGTTAGCAGCTAGGCCGGTGACTTGGCAGGTAGCAAGGTAGAGAAGAAGAGCCTAGATGAGAACATGGCTTAATGCATGTTGGACAGGGGTGACCAAGGCTGCCAGCGGCCCAAGTCTGAAGGCAGCTTTGAAGCAGAGAAGCCCTTCTGCAGGGTGGAGCTGCGCGTTTGTGCGTTTCAGACGTTTCAGTCCAGGGGAGCCATCTGCCTGCCGCTAAAGCGCAGCCGCTGCTGGTAAACAGCAGCTCAGGATGGGAAGGGGAGGAGGTTGAATTAAATTACAAATGGGTTCTGATTTAGGCAGGCGGTAGGAATGTCCTCCATCCTAACAAAAGGCGACTTCTGCTGGGTCGCTTCTTCTCTCAGTGGAAGTCCTCCCCAGGATGGKGGTCAGGACACCTAGCCTGTGAAGGGCTGTGTTGAAACATGGCCCCAACAGTGCTGGGGCTCAGGTGGTTTGGTGGCGAGAAGAGGAGCTCTTGCTACCTCATGGCTTTTTCATGTTAACGTTTGTATGTACTTGATTGTGTTCGCCTTAGCTACACACACTCATGCAGATGTCTTGCTAACCATCCCCAATGAGCCCTGATTTTTTTGTGGGGATGCAGGTGATGGAGATGGGATGCTAACAAATATCTCACCCCTGGCTGTGATTGTTTGAAGTTATTTCCTAAATGGACAGAACCACAGATTAGGGAAGGGATGGCACCCTTCACAGCCTGGTGTAGGGAAAACCCAGGCTCTGTGGTTAACACAGCCAAGGAGTACATGTGCCTTATTTSTTTGCTTCCTTTTGCTTCTCTATATTTTGGGGCTTTGTTTGTTTTGAGGTAAAGGTCAGTAGAGCTAATGCCCTTTCAACTGAGTGAGGGTGACTGCAAGGGAAGGTTACCATGGCTGCTGCACTAGTACTCCTGTACTTGCCTTCCCAGCTCATGGCCTTTGTCACGCTCAGCTTTTCTGGTGGATGAAGGGTCCTGTGTTGTTGGGCACAACTCAAGATTTGGGTCTTTTCTCTTGAACTTGCCCCCCTGCCCATCAGCTGCTTTGTGCAGGTCCAGGGAACTCTTCCCAAGGGCTGGTAACCTGGTCTTTGCTTAAGCCCTTTGCAGACTAGCAAAGGAGAAGGAAGAAGCCTGCAAACTGATTAAGCATCAGCACTCAAGCTGATTGCCTGCAACYGTCTGCCTGAGGGTGGACCCGGCTTCTCTCTCTGTGTCAAGCACTGCTTGTCAGGATGGCTCCATGCTGTGGGAGAATGATGAAAAGCTCAAGGTGTCCCTTGGCAGTGTTCAAGAGCATGATGAGTTTGTTGTTGCCTGCCACATCTGCTCTGCTTTGCTTCAAGGAGTTTGTTTGACGGCCAATATTGTCTTGTCACTGGAGAGAGAGCAGCAGTGGCTCATCTCCTTGCACGTTGCCTGAGCTTGTGGTTGTCTCTTCAACAGGATGCAGCCCAGAAGTGCTAACGCATCTTCCACCTGTGGGTTTTTCTTTACAGCTCTTTGTTTTTGGATAGGAGAAACTTCTGGCTGGAGTGATTCCTTGCTAAGCTGAAAGGCTATGAGGAGATGCGGAGAAACTGCATTGACAAGGTGGTGCTTTGTGCATGTTTGGTACCTGCTTTTTATCTTTACACTGAGGTGAGGTACTCAGTTGTAGTGACACTGTGCTGCTGGCAGACAGCTGAAATAGTCTGGCAGTCTGAGGGAACTCACAGATACCAGGGCAGACTTTTGGGTTTTTGCCTTGAACTATTTTCCTTCTTGGCCAGAAAGGCATGTTGATGGCTCCCGGGCAACCCAAGGCTGCCCTGTGAAGGTATTCCACCCTTACTAACGCTAAGCAGTCTTGTAAAAACCTGAGATCAGAGAAKACCTGTAAATGGCACAGGAAACACCAGGTTAGAGCCACCTAGCTGAGCCTTTAATCCTGTCTTCCCTAGGTTAACGGTGTATGTTCCTGGAGAAGTGTACCAGGGCTTTCTGCAAAGTTTTCCCTCATGCTCTTTGATCTACTGAGGCAGTTTCTAACAAAGCTGGCCGCAGGAGAGCCAATGCAGCTCCGTCCTGTCACTTGGAGACAGGTAAATTTTTWAAATTATTATTATTMTTTTTTATTATTATTTGTTTTTTCCTTCTGACAGCACCACTACTCTGACCCTGTTCCTTTTCAACTGAGAAAGCTGCTGTAACCTGCTGGGCCTTGTAACATCTTGCAGAGCAGCCAGTTCTTTGTGCGCTTTGCAGTCACTAGTTGTGCTCTGAGGGCCCCCCAATGAGGTTAACGGGGTGCCTGGGGAGGATGTGGCAGGTCATGGGGTGAAGCTGTGGCTGCTCTGCAGCCTCGCTCCAGCTCTTATACCCTTGTTGTGTTTTAAGGGCCTGGCAGGAGGTGGGCAGGTACCACTTGGACRAGGGTTGCCTTGATGGTTGCTGCCACCGAGCTCCTGGGTCTAACTGAGGAAGAACCTGGCCACAAAAGGCTGGTGGTGGCTAGCTGGTAACTGTGTGTTCAGCAGCCTGCAGTGCCATTTATTAGCACTTAAGACGTGCTGTCTCTGCTCCAAATGGAGTGTTTACAGCAGTGACATGAACAGCTGTCCCAGTCAGCCGGATCATAACAAATGGGAGCTCCGGCTGGAATGCTGTTGTGCTGCAAGGGGGCAATACATCTTACCACTAAACAATGAAGCTCATGATGGATGGTGACAAGGCTCTCTGCTGTCTTGCTTGRTGATCACACTGGGAAATAAACATAAAACCTAAGATGTTCCCAGGGATCTAGGCAAGGCCTCGCGTTGCACCCAGGAAGAAACGGCTTTGAATTTCCCTGGTGCCTTTACTGCTAGAGTCCTTGCATCCAGGCAAGCGCATGTGCGGCCTTCTCTCCGTGCTGGATGCTCTGGGAGGGATACAGGGGTACGGGAAGGAAATCGGGGAAAAAGAGGAGGAGCAGGAGCTGGTAAAGGAGTCATTGCAGAAATAAATATGAACTCAAGGAATGAGCCCTAGAGGAGCTGTAGAGAAATGCTAGCTTAAACACAGTGTATGACTCAAGTTTCAYATGCACACATTCACCCACGTGTCCTTTCCTTCACACTGTTTTTGAAAGCTGCCGGCACAAGGGCTACTGCATTTTCTCTTCTCTCCTACCCCAAGGGATATTTTAAATGGGAACTGGAAATGATCAGAGCAGGTGGTGCTGTGATTTCACAGAAGAATAAATATATCTTATAGCATAAGTGGGGCAAGCAGACTGAGGGGAACTGGCCATTTCTTTCCAGGCTATGCAAGCAGAAGTGCCAGGGCACGAGATACAGCATGATGGAGCTGAAAAGAACTGAGGATTGGCACAGGATATTTGGAGTGACACTGCCAGCATTGGGAAGCCAATTAAAGCTTATTTAAAATATTAGCATATCAGCAGGCAGAAATTCTTCCAACTGGATTGGTTTCACTAGGGGAGCAGGGAATGGAGCCAATGTTCAGCTGGCAATTTTTCTTTCTGCGCAGTTGCATTTGTCACCTGGCCTGCCAGGGCCCTGCTGGCATCTGTGGAAGGACAGCGTCGGAGGGGCTGGATGCATCCCCAGGGGAAAGTGTTTCCAGCATCAAGCTCCTGCTGCACAAGCTGTGGCAACAAATGGGGAGGGAGGTGTTAACTCTCAGCTAGGAGCTGCAAAAGCAAAGAACAAAACAGCTCTGTTTGGGTGTGCATGTATGGGGTGGCTGAAGGAGTGGGAAGATCTTAAAAATCCCAGCTTTCCTTTCCTGGCAAGTTCTTCCCAGTTTATATTTGGTGCCTCTCTAGCAGGGAGTTAGGGAGGACTGTCTGGTGAAGGGCTTTGCTGGGTAGGGAGAAGGAGGGAGTTGTCAGCCAGGCAAATGCAAGGATGGGCTTAAGTGGAGCACTAATGGGAGAGGGAGGGCTGGACATCGCAGCTCTCTATTTCAGCAGAGACCAGGCTTTGTGTGCAAGCCAGCTCTACCTAGGCACAGGGGTGGTTGGTCCCTGTCCTGGGAGCTCTCCCTGTGCTGGTCCCTGCCTCTTGGCCCCATCTCAGGCTTTTCACATGGAGTTCACATGTAATTCCATGGTGTTTTTCTCTTGAAGTTGTACCAAAAACGGGAGTCTTATTTTGAAGGATTTGCTTAACATCTGACTGCAACCAAAATTATCCTGCTCCCTTTTCCTTCTCTTGAGGGTCTGGTGCACTTGGAGCATTTCTCTCRTGAACAGCAAGGCCAAGATACTGATTTACAATAAGTCTGTGCCCTGTCATCCTCTTGCACCACCAGTCCCCAGGACTGCAAGGTGCAAACCACAGTTTCCTCAGCTGCCCTTGCTCTTTGAATCAATTAAATTCTAAATTCTGTATGCTTGTACTTCTGTAGGTAGATACCAATATTTGAAAAATACTGACATTTTACCCAGTTCCCATGAGAAGGAGAAACTGCATGGGCTTGATCTGTGAGTGGTTGTGGATGAGTGTCCCTGCAAATCCTGAGCAGGTGCCTGGGGGAGGAGAGGAATGGAAGAGTGTTGCACGAGAGATTAAGGCTGCAGATCCAGCTCAAAGAAAGAATTAAATCTAGTCAATTGACTAGATATTAATCTTTTGTGGATAAGGTACATGCTATTACAAGAAAATAATGTGAAGGTCTATGCACTGCAGCACTGTATGTATTGAAGTTGACAGGAAACTTTTTCAATGTCTCTTGACTGTCTGCAAAAAAAAAAATGCAACTTTGTCCACAGACTTTGATAGTCATTTCCTGCTAATGCTTTAGCTGGTGAGAAGCTGTCACTCAAATATTTGCTGAGAGAGAGAAGTTCTTCCTTGCACAGTGTTAGCTCAAAGTGTGCTGGTCTGAGTCCCTGCCAAGGAGATGCCGGGAAGGTGTGTGCGAGGTCGCCTGGGCTCGTGGTGGTTTCTGCACTCGGAGGAATTTTGCCTCTGAAAATGCGAGTGTGGTTGAAACCAATTTTATTTGAGAACRTGAATAGACACTCAAAGAACCATTTTTTCCTCTCCCCATGACTTCTCTTCCTCTAATTACCAGGATGAATGCRTAAAGGCTCACATAGAAGTGTTCACAAGAGTGGGTTTACTCTGATTTTACTCTTGTTCTTGGTATAAAAGGCATCTTAAGTGGGTTTTAATATTTTCTCAAAAAGAGATGTGGATTATGAAGCTTTAGACATAACTTGCATTTGGAAAAGCCAATTAATATTTTGTTATATATAATTTTTATAAGTTAACATTTTACAGATAATTTACAGTGCTCATGTCATTAGGCAAATGGCATTTAAATCGATTTCGAATTAGTGGGTTAATGATTTCCCACAGGTATCACTTCACTGGGCAACATGCAAGATGCTTTTTCCAATAAAGGGTAGGGGTGCAGAGGTAAATTCCTGCCTCTGTAATTGAGGCAATAATTGGAGTGGTGGTCACATCCAAATGCAATATYGATCTGCAGAAAGTGCTGACTGTCCTCAGCGCTGTGGCTAGGAGGGAGTAAGAAGGACTCTCAAAGACTGCAGTCTTTGCATATTTCTTGTGTAATAATTTCAGTTCGGTTTATGTTGAAACTCCAGGTGGTATGTTAAGATAGCCAATTGATTCTGTATTGTTAAATAATCTTGTGGTTTAGAGCCCTAAAGCTATTCATCTTGAGTTCTAATTATAGCTATAAGGGAGCATCTTTCATCTTACACCTTACCTTACCTTACCACGTCCCAAAATCTGTTAAAGAAAAAAGGAGGTGGGGGTGTCCTGCTTGCAAAGCAAGTATTTGGAGAATAGGCTGCTGGCTCCTTCATGTTAGCACAGGGAACTAAGGTTAAAGTCTGAAGATGCTAGTGGAAAGGAATGAATATTTCAACCTGGTCAACCTTTAGTTTCCTAGTGGTCCAAACTAGTATCTTGTGGCAAATCTAGGGTGGCTGCACCGGCTCACTTAACATTTCTGCAGCTGATAATATCAGCTTTTCATGTGTCATCATCCTGATACTAGGGGTATAAAAGATGCTGCTGATTTCCTCCTCTAAGGAATGGGGAATTATTGTCCTTTTTGGCGTTCCTGTTGTCCTTCAGGAGTACCTGAGAGGGAGAGGGCCACTTGCACCAAGGTGTTGGGCTGCAGAGAGGGGACTTCATTCATTCATACAGCGCTTCTGCAAGTGCTGCTTTTTGCTGGCCCATGTCGTAGGACCAGGTACCATTGCAGAATGGTGATATACAAAGATGACGATCTAAACTGGCACCCTGGAGCAGTGCCCCAGGCGGTGTCACTCCATGTCACCCACAGGCCAGCGCTGGGCCGGGAAGCACTGGGTTTTCAGCACAGCTCACACTAATGCAGGAATTGAGCAGCTGTGGAAATGGGTGGTGGTGTTTGTGGAGCGCCGTCTCCCTGTGGCTGGCTGTTTGCACAAACTCTATTGCTTCCAAGCTTTGTGTTACAGAGTTATGTTCCTCTTGTATTAAAAATTAATGTTGGATGAAAAGATCCATGGATTGAAACTCAGTGAGAATTTCCCCCTGCATGCACATACACACCTCATTTAGATGCACCTTTCCTGGGAACGCCAGCTGATGACCCAAATCATGGGAGTTAAGGTTTATAATTACCTTCTATCAGCACTGCTTAGGAAATGGAAAGGTGCCCTCAAATAAGGGATGATACCTCTAAAGATGAAATTTATACCAGCTGAGAAGTCATTATTGTATCCCTTAGCATCCAGAGTGCTCCAGGGGTGTTGAAAAGGCTTTAAACAGATAGATTTATGGGAAAATATCTGCTCACAATATGTTATTCGGGCTTCAAGGATGCAGAAAAAATTGTATCGCTTTTTGCACAGAGCTACTTCTGTCAGTACACAATTCAGCTCATAATTACAGTCTTTCATCTTATTAGCATATGTAAGAGTTTCTGTAAGTTTTATCCAAACACTCTTAATTCATTAGGTGTTCTCTTTGCAACTCTTGTGCCCTGGGACATAAGGAATACTCTGTGCTTGTTTTTTATGTAAATTAGACCTTAAAGATGTGCATAAATCTGTGGACATGCTCCTAGC